CTCTCATCTCCTTTGTCCCAAGGTGTGCTTTGACACAGTGTACACTCTCTTCCCCTATGGACAGTTTGTCCTCAGGGTTAGACTTTGAGCAACCCCACAGCTCCCCCTGGATCCCACTGGCCCTTGCAAGTGCTAGTCTGAGCAAGTGCTAGGGAATGTTTGCCTGGGACCCAGTAACGCAGCAACACAAGGGCTGAGACTCCCTGGGCAGGACAGAGGCCCTCAATGGATGCAGAACCAGTATGGCACCCACCACCTCAGCTCGGGTCTAGGGCCAGGGTGAGCAATCCTGCATCAGCTGGCAACCTGGTGCTCTGCCCTCAAGAAGTTCTCAAATCACTGCTCATACTGGTGCCAGTTCAGGAGGGCAAAGGGGCTCTCCAACAGTTTGGAAACCAACCAGCAGTCTGCTGCAGTGAGGGTGAGTGAAAGAAGCTACAAACATCCTCACCTACCCTTTCCACAGGACTGCAAGTCCCTTGGGGATTATCAAACTCTTGCTTCCCTCTTTTTTCGGTGCCCCAGCTTCTTCCTGTGGGTTTTGGCACTCTTCCCTCAGTATTCCGCTTGGGCCACAATTATTAACCTTTGGTTCTTCTCTCTGAGGAGAACTGGCATTCAATGTTTCTACTCAATCATCACTGATCTTTCCGTTCCTCTTTCCCATATCAATTTCTACTCATGGCTGTTGGATAATTCGTATTTTCTCTCCAGATCTACTCTCCACTCTGCTCTCTGCTGCAAGGAGCTGACTTGTTTGATATTGAATGATTGATTGATTGATTGATTTTCTATGAGACAGAGTCTCACTCTGTTGCCCAGGAGGGAGTGCAGTGGCATGATCAGGGGTCACTGTAGCCTCAAACTCCTGGGTTCAGTCTCCCAAGTAGCTAAGACTACAGGCACATGCTACCATGCACGGCTCATTTTTTTTGTTTTGTTTTGTTTGTAGAGATCGGGCCTTACTATGTTGCCCAGGCTGGTCTTGAACCCCTGACCTCAAGTGATCCTCCCACCTTAGCGTCCCAAAATGCCAGGATTACAGGCATGAGCATAATGTCCATCTGATAACTTAATATTTTGAAGAAACAATTTCTGATTACTTTCTCTCCTTATTTTCTCTTCTCTGATAATTTCTACCTAAAAATTGCATTCTTACCAACATTCAGAATTGTTGAAGAGCCTTCAGTGTTTCTTTGTATGCTATCATAATAAAAATAAAAAGGTACTATTTTCTTATCGCTATAAACCTTTTAGATTCTTTAAGTTTCCATTAAGATTCCTCTAAATGTGTAAACTGCCTAAAGGTTTTCCAATTATAAGAACTTATATTATATTGGAAGTTTTAGGTGATAAATGAAGCTACTGATAGCTGCTTTACTAAAGATGAACATGACATATTGAGGAAAGAAGTAGACATTACTATATCTATCCTGATAAGTCAAAATACTGCCAAATAATCTGGGGAGTGCTGTGCTATCTATCATGGATTAGATCTGACTCAGCAATTAACTTTCAACCTATTGGGGTGGGGGAGGAGGAAGCTCCATCCTTTCAAAGGGATTTACACTTAAATAGTTTATATTTCTCATCCCAAAGCAGATTTGAAGAATTAAAATCAGAAACCAGGCCGGGCGTGGTGGCTCATGCCTGTAGTTTGGGAGGCCAAAGAGAGTGGATCACCTGAGGTCAGGAGTTTGAGACCAGCCTAAGCCTACATGGTGAAACCCTGTCTCTACTAAAAATACAAAAATTAGTTGTGTGCCGTGGCCTGCACCTGTAACACCAGCTACTCAGGAGGCTGAAGCAGGAGAATTGCTTGAATCTGGGAGGTGGAGGTGGGAGTGAGCCGAGATTGTGCCACTGCAATCCAGCTTGGGCAACAAAGCCAGACTCCATCTAAAAAAAAAAAAAAAAAAAAATTAGCTGGGCGTGGTGCATACCTGTAGTCCCAACCACTCAGGAGACTGAGGCAGGAAAACCTCTTGAATCCAGGAGACAAGGTTGCAGTGAGCTGAGATCTCACCACACCACTCTAGCCTGGGCGACAAAGTGAGACTCTGTCTCAAAAAAAAAAAAATAATAATAAAGTAAAAATTAAACATGGAACCAGAACCAAGATTCATCAGTTCAAAATTCTGGAAACAGCCTTTCCTAAAGTATGTAGAATTTTAGTAAATCATGCTCTATCTAGACCTTCCTCTCAATTACTTATGATTTTCTGTATCATGTGCATATTTGCATACAAGAGGGATTACTTTAAGCTCTATTCTCTAGGAAAGGAGGAAAAGCATGATGAGCATAGGGCTAAATTTAGCCAGCCAGCTGTGGTTTTTTTTTTTTTTTTTTTTTTTTTTTTTTTTGCCTGCAAAGTATTTAACATTTGTTTTTATTTGAATGGCTTTTAGGTGGGACCTAAAACAACCCAGCAACTTCCCCAAACCCAGCAACTCCCAGTTGTCTTAACCAAACTAGATTTACCCATTTATTTTACCTTCCTAACCTTGTAATCTTTGGTTTGTGCCTTCTGTAAGAACTTTCATTGCAGACATTATGTGAATAGAATAGCCTAGAGGAAATGCTTGGTGTTGTGAAATTGAGAGGAGGGGAACTTGAAAGGAGAGCCATCTCTGGCTAAGACTCTGACGTAGGGCAGATTGTCTTCCCTCTCCATGGCACACACTTGCCTTCTTCCACACAAATCCATCGTTACTCTATTTCTCCATTCTCCATGCCCCCATCTCTCATTCAAACCTGTACCTAAATAAGATTCCAATACTCATTCATGGGATAAATGACTACCCCAAACAAAACAAAACTGTGGCTTATCTTCAACCTCAAACAAACTTTCATTATATAAGCATCACCAAGCAAATGGGGTACTCAGAATCATTGTACACTCAGCTTGGTTGTTTGCACAGAGGCTTCTCTAAAATAATTTTTCTTTTAACTTGATAGGAGAAATAGGAAAAGTAGAAAAGGAAAGCCATGCTTGAGAAAAGAAAAGTGAAACAAAAAGAGTTTTAATCCAGTCTTTCAGAATGTAGGACCAAAGGGAAGAGGTATTCAGGAATATTTGCTCTAAGTCAAGCCCCTGCTTCCCTGCTAACTGAGGCAAAGAAGTGCAGAACTGTGTGCTAGTAACCTCAGATACGCACTCCAGTGCCCTTCACCTTCACAGTCTTATTTGTACTAGGATTTATTTGTACTGTTTCTCACCCAAATTTTTTCTAGTAATACCTCTGGGCTATTTATTCTTATAGTCACTCCTGTCAAAGAAAGCAGTAAATAATATCCTTTTATCTATTTAAAAGTTAATGAGGCCGGATGCCTTGGCTCACATCTGTAATCCCAGCACTTTGGGAGGCCGAAGCAGGCAGATCACTTGAGGCCAGGAGTTCGGCCTGGCCAACATGGTGAAACCCTGTCTCTACTAAAAATACAAAAATTAGCCGGGCGTGGTGGTATGTGCCTGTAATCCCGGCTACTCAGGAGGCTGAGGCATGAGAATGGCTTGACCTGGGAGGCAGAGGTTTCAGTGAGCCAAGATCACGCCACGGCATGCCAGCCAGGGCAACAGAGTAAGACTCTGTCTCAAAAAAATAAATAAATAAATAAATAAAGTTAATGAAAATCTTCCCTATAGTTTTTTCTTCTCCAAACTACAAAATCTCCTCCCCATCCCTTTAGCCTCTTTCTCACATGTCTTATTTGAAAATGCTCTTCTCATTTATTGTTAAACTTTCTCTGATTTATCTTCACCTAAATTATGGGGGCCCAAATTTGACTTTTAGTATTTTCAACTTTAGTATACAACGGATAACTTAGAATTTTCTATTGAGTAAGGTTATTGATGCTACTGATCCTGTTAAACTGCCTTTTCTGGACCAAAATGTGAGTGAAATTCAGGCTAGAATTCAAAAAGCGTAGAATTTATTTTTCAACATACAACTATGCCTCTCTTTAAGCAAATCTGCTACCTGAAAACATGACTTTATAGAACAGAAACTGATTCTTTAATTAAAAAGATTCACCAGTACTTTTCATTAACTAAACTCTCCTCCGATACAAATAGTTTTTTCAGTTACACATTTATCATGCAAATCCACATGCACCTGTAAAATTTGAGAGGGTGAGAAGAAAACTATGTGCAAATTGAAGCAATAGAAGAGCTGCCAATTGTATAGGAAGTAACAATATGTCCTGTGTCATGTAATTTTACATTGCTCTTTCCTGCACCTTCCTTAGTAAGTCTCTACCCAAAAGCAAAATTAAAGGGTTTCATTTCTCTTTCCACTAGACTAAGTACATAAATTCCTCCCCAAACAGATAGTGAGTAAACAGAAAGGAAATTAACTGCTCAATTAAAAAAAAAAAAAAAAAAGTAGGCTGGGCCAGGTGGCTTTGGCTCACACCTGTAATCCCAGCACTTTGGGAGGATCTCCTGAGGTCAGGAGTTTGAGACCAGCCAGGCCAACATGGCAAAACCATCTCTACTAAAACTACAAAAATTATCCAGATGTGGTGGCACATGCCTGTAATCCCAGCTGCTTGGAAGGCTGGGGCAGAAGAATTGCTTGAACCTGGGAGGCACAGTTTGCAGTGAGCTGAGATCATGCCACTGCACTGGGCAAAAGAATGACACTCCATCTCGGAAAAAAAAAATTAGCCAGGCGTGGTGGCATACACCTGTAATCCCAGCTACTCTGGAGGACTGAGGCAGGGGAATTGCTTGAACCCGGGAGGCAGAGGTTGCAGTATGTATATATGGAGAGAGAGAGAGAGAGAGAGAGAGAGAGAGAGAGAGAGAGAGAGAGAGGAGAGAGTACTACTAATGGCCAGAAAAGAAACAGCATGGGGGGGCTGCTGCTCGGGGTTGATGTGAGGCAGCAACAGCGGGGACGTTTTCTGACTCCTGGCCCCTGACCTGGCTGCCCTTTCCATCCCGCTGCCTGCGGGCCACTACTCCAGCCCCAGAATTCAGAATGTGATTAACAAACACAGTGAAGAGTAAAGCACTGGAAGTGGTTGAGTACCTGACCCCGGTCCTCAAGGAATCAAAGTTTAAGGAAACAGATATAATCATCCCAGTAGAGTTTGTGGCAGCTGTATATTGCTTAATCCACCACTGTCCAACATGGCAATGGGCTACAGGGGAAGAATTGAAAGTGAAGGCATACCTACCAACAGGCAAACCATTTTTGGTAACCAAAAATGTTCCATGCTATAAGCAGTGCAAACAGACGGAATATTCAAATGAATTGGAAGCTATCATTGAAGAAGATGACGGTGATGGCAAATGGGTAGATACATATCACAACACAGATATTACGGGAATAACTGAAGCAGTGAAAGAGATCACACTGGAAAACAAGGACAGTATAAAACTTCAAGATTGCTTGGCACTATGTGAAGAGGTAGAAGAGGAAGGTGAAGGAGAAGCTGTAGACATGGAAGAATATGAAGAGAGTGGATTGTTGGAAAAGATGAGGCTCCCTAGATACAAGAAAAATAGTAGAAGCTTGTAAAGCCAAAACTGAAATCCTCTGTGCTTTGCCTATTTATCCCCCTCAATCCCTGGTAACCACTTATCTTTTTTTTGAGACAGAGTCGTGCTTTGTTGCCCAGGCTGGAGTGCAGTGGTGCAATCCTGGCTCACTGTAACCTTCACCTCCCACGTTCGAGCCATTCTCCTGCCTCAGCCGCCCAGGTAGCTGGGACTACAGACATACACCACCATGCCTAGCTACTTTTTTTTTTGGTATTTTTAGTGGAGATAGGGGTTTCACCATGCTGGCCAGGTTGGTCTCGAACTCCTGACCTCAAGTGATCCACCCACCTCAGCCTCCCAAAGTGCTGAGATTACAAATGTGAGCCACTGTGCCCGGCCCACTAATCTTTTTATTGTCTCCATAGTTTTGCCTTTTCCAAATGTCATATAATTAGAATCATACAGCCCTTTCAGATTGGCTTCTTTTAATTATCAATATGCATTTAAGTTTCCTCTACATCTTTTGATGGCTTGATCGCTCCTTTTATTTTAGCACTAAATAAAATTCCATCCAATGGATATACTACAGTTTATTTATCCTTAGTTGACTTCTTATTTCTTCCAAGTTTTGGCAATTATGAGTAAAGTTGCTATAAACATCTGTGTACAGATTTTTGTGATTTTTTTTTTTTTTTTTTATTAAAAAAGTTTTTAGAGATGGCTTCTCATTCTGTTGCCCAGGATGGACCTGAACTCCTGAGCTCAAGTTATCTTCCCACGTCAGCCGCTCTGGTAGCTAAGACTAAAGACATGTACCACCATGCCTGGCATGTAGGCATAAGTTTTTGATTCCTCAGGGGAAATAGCAAGGAGTACAATTACTGGATCATATGTATGAATGTGATTAGTTTGTAAGAAACTGCCAAAGTGTCTTCTATACCATTTTGATATCTCATCAGCAACGAATAGGAGTTCTTGTTGCTCGGCCTCCTTGTCACCATTTGTCATCTTTTGGATTTTAGCCATTCTAGTAGGTTTGTACTGATATCTCATTGTAGTTTTCATTGGCAATTCCCTAATGACTTATGATGTTGAGGATCTCTTCATTGCTTATTTGTCTTCTGTGTATATTCTTGGTGATGTGTTTCTGTTCAGGTCTTTTGCCCATTTTTTAATCAGACTGTTTTCTTACTGTTGAGTTTATTTTTGAAATTATTTGTATTATTTTTATTTTTTTTTAAAGAGGGGGTTTCACCGTGTTGGTCGGGCTGGTCTTGAACTCAGGTGATCCACCCACCTTGGCCTCCAAAGTGCTTGGATTACAGGCATGAGCCACCACGCCCGGCCTCTTCCTGTTGAGTTTTAAGAGTTTTATAAAAATTTTTTTAGTGACCAGAAATTATGACAAACTTTATTATTAAATGACACACAATTATAGCTACTTTTCTTTTATTTCAATTGGTTTTTGGGAAACAGGTGATGTCTGGTTACATGAATAAGTTCTTTAGTGGTAATTTCTGAGATTTCGGTGCAATTATCACCAAATCATGAGCAGTGTATGAGCAGTGTACACTGTACCCAATGTGTCATTCCTCATGCCCCCTCACCCCTTCCCCTGAGTCCCCAGAGACATTGTATCATTCTCTTCTTTTTTTTGAGACTGAGTCTCACTTTGTCATCCAGGCTGGAGTGCAGTAGCATGATCTCAGATAACTGCAGCCTCCACCTCCTGAGTTCAAGTGATTCTCCTGCCTCAGCCTCCCAAGTAGCTGTGATTATAGGTAAGTGCCACCACTATTTTTAGTAGAAATGGAGTTTCACTGTGTTGACCAGGCTGGTCTCAAACTCCTGACCTCAAGTGATCTGCCCACCTCGGCCTCGGAAAGTGCTGGGATTACAGGCGTGAGCCACTGCACCCAGCTGTCCATTGTATCATTCTTATGCATTCGAGTCCTCATAGCTTAGCTCCCAGAGTTTTAAGAGTTTTTTGTGTATTTTCAGCTGAGCGTGATGGTGTGTGCCTGTTGTCCCAGCTACTTCAGAGGATGAGGCAGGAGGATGCCTTGAGCCCAGAAGTTCTAATCCAGCTTAGGCAACATAGCAAGACCTCATCTCTAATAAATAAATACATTTTAAAAATAGTTATTTGTATATATTTTTTAAAAACAACATCTCTTTTTCCCATGAGACAGGGTCTCACTCTGTTACCAAGGCTGGAATGCAGTGACGTGAAATTATTGCGTAGGATACTAAATTTGTGGACACATGTCATTATACATTTGTGAAACCCACAGAATATTCCACACCAAAAGTGAACTCTAATATAAACTATGGACTTTGGGTGATAATGATGATATATGCATGAAGATTCAGCAATTGTAACGTAAGTACCACTCTGGGGCATGATGTTGAAAATGAGGGAGGCTGGTGTGGGGAAGGGGTCATATGAGAACATGCTGTATTTTCCACTCAATTTTTCTGGGAATTTAAACTGCTCTATAAAATAAAGTTTATTTAAAAACACAGGCCAGGAACAATGGCTCATGCCTGTAATCCCAGAGCTTTGGGAGGCCAAGACGAGCTCTGTCTCCAGCCTGGGAGACAGAGTTAGACTCCATCTCAAAAACAAAACAAAAATAGTAATAAAAACCTACATATTGGGCTGCTTTTTTTTTAAGACAGAATTTTGCTCTTATTGCCCAGGCTGGAGCGCAATAATATGATCCTGGCTCACTACAACCTCTGCCTCCCAGTTCAAGCGATTCTCCTGCCTCTGCCTCCCGAGTAGCTGGGATTACAGGCATGCACCACCATACCTGGCTAGTTTTTGTATTTTTAGTAAAGATGGGGTTTCTTCATGTTAGTCAGGCTGGTCTCGAACTTCCGACCTCAGGTGATCTGCCCACCTCGATCTGCTTTTTATTACCACCGTGAGACTTTAGTTCTAAACAATGTCAGGGATAGAACATTCCTCTCTCCAAATTTGTTTTGTTGTTCTGAATTCTATAATGATTGTGGCTATTACTGAGTTTTATTAATGTAAGCTTCAAATTAACACATTTATATTCCTTATGTCTCAATAACCATTTTATTTTACATAAAAGTTAATTAAGAGAATTTCCAATTATACAGTCGGCTCCTGACACATGCCAACTCAGCTGCAATAGTCACGTCAGGAGTCTCACTCTGTTACCAAGGCTGGAGTGCAGTGACGTGATCACAGTTCACTGCAGCTTCACCCTCCCAGGCTCAAGCCATCTGCGTCACCAATCCCTGCTAACTTTTTTTTTTTTTTTTTTTTTTTTTTTTGTAGAGATAGGGTTTGCTATATTGCCCAAGCAAGTCTTGAATTCCTGGGCTCAAGTCATCCATCCGCCTTGGCGTCCCAGAGTGTTGGGATTACAGACATGAGCCACTGCACCCAGCCAGGAAACACTTTTATCAGATATGTCTTTTGAAAATATTTCCTCCTAGTCTGTGGCTTAACTTCTCATTCTCTTGATGAGCTTTCAGTTTTGTCTCTTCAAAGCACTGTTTCATGTGACATTTTCAATTTTTAATTATTGTGTTAAAATACACATAACATAAAATTTACCATCTTAACCATTTTAAGTCTACAATGGAGTGGTATGAATATATTCAAAATTTTGTGAATATATTCACAAAACCATCACCACCATCCACCTCTCTCTTTCATCTTATAAAACTATAACTCAGCCGGGTACAATGGCTCACGCCTGTAATCCCAGCACTTTGGGAGGCTGAGGTGGGCAGATTACCTGAAGTCAGGAGTTTGAGACCAGCCTGGCCAACAAGGTGAAACCCCGTCTACTAAAAATACAAAAATTAGCTGAGTGTGGTGGCACGCACCTGTAGTCCCAACTACTTGGGAGGTTGCGTCAGAAGAATCACTTGAACCCAGTGCGGGGCAGGGTGGAGGCTACAGTGAGCCAAGATAGGACCATTGCACTCCAGTTTGGGGGACAGACAAACAAAACAAAACAAAAAAAACTGAATCTCTGTGACAGTTTTATTTTAATTCAATCCAATATGTAAATATTTTACATTGGATAAGACTCTTTTTCCCTTTTAAAAAATAAAACTTTGTTTTTATTATAAAAGTAACATGTATTTCTAATGGAAAATTTGAAAAACACAATTAGAAAAAAGAGGAAAAACCTGTGAAAAACTCTGGCACCAGGAAGACTAGTGGCCTTGGAAGTAGTCTGGAAACCACACCCTTAGCTGGGACAATTTGACAGACAATACATTAGAAGCATAAAAAAGATACTCTTTGACCCAACAATCCTTGTTTCAAAATGTATTCCAAGGAAATAGTTGGATAGGTGCCCAGAGAGTCAAATGCAAAGATGTTCTTAATTGGAAAAAAAATGGCAAACAAGCTATATTTGTTTTCTTGGGCTGTCATAACAAAGCACAGCAGATCGGCTGGTTTAAACAATGGAAATTTATTTCTCTCAATTCTGGAAGCTAAACGTCTGAGATCAATGTGTCAGCAGGATCTTCACATGGTCCTTGTAAGTTTCTATGTTCAAATTTCCTCTTTTTATAAGGATGCCAGTCATATTGGATTAAGGCCCACTGATGACCTCATTTTAAATTAATTATCTCTTTAAAACCCTATCTCCAAATGCATTCTGAGGTACTAGGGGTTAGGATATCAACATATGAATTTTGGGGGGACACAATTCAGCCAATTATGCAAACCTAATCTAAGAATTGAGAATTAGTTAAATAAATTAGGATGCAGTCATACAATAGTTCAATTGTACTTTTTAGCTCATATATGAATGTTTAATATCACCATTAAAAATGGCCTTAGGGTCAGGCACAGTGGCTCATGCCTGTAATCATTGGTGGATATGGAAGAAGTGAAAAGAAATCAGGATGTTGCCTACCAACATGCCTCCACTCTGGGAGGTTAAGGTGGGTGGATCACTTGAGGCCAAAAGTTCGAGATCAGCCTGGCCAACATGGCAAAACTCCTTCTCTACTAAAAATACAAAAATTAGCTGGGAGTGGTAGCACATGCCTGT